TGACCCACTAACTTTACTCATTAGCGCTAGTATTCTTTGTTTAGCTATTTTTGGCTCGTAGTGAGTATTCTTTGACAAGCCTCTCCAGACTTTTACAAGTATTCTTTCCATAGCCTCTTTAGGCTTTACAAATGATAGATAGATGATTTGGATTGAGTGCTTTGTTTACTCTCACAGAGAGGATACAAAGATTTTCTACACTCATTAAGGCGCATGTTCCTAAGTTACACTTAGAACTCATTAGTCTATAAAGATAAATACACTATGGTACATTTGACTCCATAAGCTCTGTCTCTGGTTTCGTTGTTTCATGGGTTTGATATCACTCTTCACCAACCTTTCAAGGTTTGAAGTTATGACATATATATAGTCTTGTAAAATTTGTCGGTTGCAAGTGTCCGTTGAAGCAGGATGTAGTCATTCATGACTAGTTTGATCTTTCATTTAATGCACAAGATCTTGCATTAAATGTTGCTTCTTGTTTATAAACATTGTGTGAAGTCTTTTTTGTTTTGTTAGCAGTAGTGTCTAACTTTAGTTGAGACTTAGAAACTTTTTGTCCTTTTCTAGTCATCGTAGCTATAGAAGTGTTGTCCTTATCTGAAAAAGTGATGTACTTTTTCTGACACATGCATGCTTTTACTTTTGCACTTGTATTTCTCCTTTTTCTTTTCTTCCTTTAATCATGCAATCATATTGAGAGCTTTTGTATGATCGTAGACGATGCCTGAGTTGTCCCTTGGGACTTGATTCTTCAAATACTTGCATGGCAGTCTTCGTCTACGTTTGATAGTCCATGTGCATCTCAAGTCTTGATCTTCGTCTGAGCATTTTTCATTAATGCTTTTGACTTTCTTTGGTCCGGTCAACATTGTGAATGGACAGACTTTGTTTCCGTCTAGAATACTTTTCAGTCTGTGTTGTCCTTTGTCTGATATTTAGTTGACTTTCTTTTGATCTTTGACCAACCTTCGTCTGAGTTCTTATGTTGCGCTCTAGGTTGTCTTTGACACACCTTCGTCTGATATTTGATTTATCATTGTCTGGCACACATTTGATATTCCATCTACCATTCATCTTTGTTTACTCTTCGTGTGATCCTTATGCAGAGATTTTCCTTGACTCATCTTCGTCTAATATTTGATTTATATTCATCTAGCGCTTATGTCTTACTCTATCTATCATTTGACTTGCTTTGTCTGATTTTCGTGGTATGCTTTGCCTTGACTTATCTTCATCTAGTTGACCATTTAAGCTTCATCTATTATCCTTCGTCTGTTCAGACTTCATCTGGTGCTTAACCACTTTGTTAAGTCAGACGAAGATGATAGAACTTTCCAGCAAGGTTTTGAATAAGACAAATATAATACTTATTATTATTACTAACAAGTGTGTTAGTGTTTCATATATAAGTAAAGGCAAACTAAAGAATGGAAAACATACATCCACACCAGAATCAAGAGATATGAGTCAAGCATCGGATAAAGGTTGAGCAAACGAAGGAAATGCATCAGACGAAGGCACCTAAACAAAGGAGTAAAGAACAGGACATGAGTAATCAAGATAAAGGGCAAAAGGTGACAAGATATTAGACAAGAAGAATAAACAATCTAGCAGAATCTAGTCCAGCACAAGAAGGGAGAAAATAGAGATTCAAACGATACAAGACCATGGACGATGGACAAATCCTTACTAGAGCACCCTAGACTGAGTCAAGTACCTACAACTAGCTACAACAGCTAAATAGACGAAGACTCGGATACACAGACGAAGGATCAGACGAAGGTTAAGAAAGCTGGAATGCGTCTGAAGACAAAACGAGACAAGCCATCTAACATCTACACTCTCAGAAGAATACAAGAAGTCATCAAGTATGAAAAGGAAGATAATACAAATGGACAAGCGTTTATGTGCAAATCAAAACAGCGCGTGTCAGAGCAAGCACACCTACCAGCTAGGAAAAGACAGCACCTCTGCAGCAACAGTACTAAGAGAGTACAAGAAATCTTGAGAAGTGCAAATCCAGCAAGCAAACATTAAATGCTAAGTCAGAAGCATTAAATGTCACATTTCATGAAGATTGTACAAATCAGATGAGAGAATCAGATGATAAGCAATCAAGCATAAGGACGAAGTCTGTCGTTACCAAAATGAGACATCAAGGTATCAGACAAAGACTACAAGGAAATCAAGCATCAAGAGATAAATAGTTGGAACACAAACATGTACCAGATGATCACAAAATATTCAAACAAAGCTATGTCAAGTGGAACTACTCTAAAGTACAAATCAGACGAGGGATGTGTCCAAGGCCTGAAGAAAGTCAATCATACATCAGACGAAAGTCAACACAGACTGAGAGACACTCCAGAAGGAAACAATATTTGTCCATTCACTTTGTGAATCAGATCAAAGAAAAATCAAAGCACTAAATTCAGATGCTGAAGTACAAGTCAACCTTGAAGTGCATAGAACCATCAAACGAAGACGAAGACTGGGACGCAAGCAAACAAGAAATCACGTCTCAAGAAACAAGCAAAGGTATAATTTATAAAAATCCCAAAGCACTCACGTAAAATGCATACGAAGAAATAATGAGAAGTACGCAAAAGCAGAGCATGCATGTGTCAGAAAAAGTACATTACTTTTTCAGAAAAGGACAACGGCTATATTTCTGCAAGACCAGAAAAAGACAAATAATTTCTTGATCTTAGATAAAGTCAAACACTGCTGCAAAAATACTGAGAAAAATACACGCATTTTCTATAAATAGGAAGCAACATTTAATGCAAAGAAAAATGCATTAAATGAATATATCAAACTAGTTGTGAACAAATATATCTGCTTCAACGAACAAATGCAACGGGAAAATTCTACAGGCCTATAAATATGCAATGTCATCAAACCTGAAGTGGCTGACGAAGAAGCAATAAAAGAATAATCATAACCTTTGCCCAAGGGCTAATTGATTAGAAAAAGAAGAGTGATGTCAATCCCACGAAACAAAGAGATCAGAGATGATACTCATAGTCATATGTACAATGTAATGTTGTAATTTTATCTCTATAAACTAAGGTGTTCAAAATGTTAGTTATGAACAAAACCTTAGTAAGTGTTGTAAACCTACATATCCTCTTCATAAGAGTAACTCAAACACTCAAACACGAGTCTCTGTAAAACTAAGGTAGCAAACCTTAGTGAGTGTAGGAAATTTACCAATCCTCTCTATGAGAGTAACCCAATACACTCGAACCCGATTATACATTTATTAGTTGTAAATCCTGAAAAGGCTAGGAAAAGAATACTTGTAAAGCCCGGAGGGGCTTGTCAAAGAATAATCACTGCTAGCCAGAAGTGGGGGATAAGAAAATACTAGCGTTGGTGAGTGAAGCCGACGGACCAGGAGTGGTTAAGAATAATTGGAGAAAAAGAAGTGGTTTGAGAACAATAGAGTTGGTGAGTGAAGTCGACGGGCTAGAAGTGGTCGAGAATACTTGAACCAGAAGTGGTTGAGATACTAGCGTTGGTGAGTGAAGCCGACGGCCCAGGAGTGGTCGAGAATACTTGAATTAGAAGTGGTTGAGAATACTAGCGCTGGTGAGTGAAGCCGACGGGCCAGGAGTGGTTGAGAATACTTGGGCCAAGAGTGGTCGAGAATAGTCAAGGCCAAGAGTGGTCGAGAATACTCAGGTCCTGGAGTGGACGATAATACTCTATGTACTTCATTTTATATCTAGTGGAACCCTTCAAGATTGAAGGAGACTGGACATAGCTCAGATGAGCGAACCAGTATAAAACAATTGCATTCCTCTACTTACTTAGACGCAAATCTTCCTTATTGATGAAACTTTTGTGAAAAACTTCGTTCAACGTTTATGTATCTTTAAAACAACTTTTAGACGAAGACACTAACTTTGCTTAACAAACTTATTACACTAAAAGTCTCATCTGTCACTTATACTTAAACGAAACTATTTTGAAAAGGAAAATATCAGAACTTCAATTAATATCTTTATAGAACATCTTCCCTAGTGGACGATAAATCCTTCAGACGCATTGATAGTAAGTTAAGCAAACTCTAGTTAATCGTCTGATATTCAAAAGTGTAGTGGACGAAGAGCACTACTGTTGCGAAAACATTTTTAAAATACCTTTGTTCGCACACACACATATTCAACCGCCCCTCGCCCCATTTCTATGTGTTTTTCGCTAACTTCACACTTTTTACTTGTTCTTGATTTAGCATTGATTGATACTTGTTTTGGCCTTTCCGTCTTATGCTTGATCATTTTTCTTCTTGTGTTAGGCTTGGCTTTGTTGAGTTTTCCATCTGATGCTTGAAGCTTTTACCCTTTATCTTGATTCTAGTGTAGGAAGTGGCACACGCACATACTCTATTCTTTAACCTGCTTGTACTTATGTTTTTCTGAAACACTAACGTAGTTGGTAGAAATAACAGCATGTATTATATTTGTCTCATTCAAAACCTTGCTGGGAATTGTTTCGTCTTACTTAACATGAATACTAATGAAGCTTTTTCTCTTTGATCTATTAAGGAATATAAAAAAAATGATAAAAATACCATACATATTTAATGTGATATTTAAAATATTCATCTAAGACGGACATATGTTCAGTTCGATAAACTATCATGCGTAGTCATATGTTGTATCATCTTAGTATGCATTTTGTGTTATCGTCTTAACATTTGGTTCTTTATGCTTTGCAAAAATGTTATGTTTGTTATAATTTAAACATAACTTTTAAGAAGTCGTAATTTGCCATTTGCCCTTTGATCTAATATGCCCTTTGATCGTATAGGGACTAATCGTGAAAATCTTGAGTTTTTTGTAGATTCTCCATTTGAGTTTGAAGAGTGTCTAGTTTGGTTGTAATAGCCTTTAAAGTCTCTTCCATCTCTCTTTTATGTGGTTTAAGAGGCACATGGGAGATAATGAAAGTACCAAGTTGTTTGGTGGAAAGTAAGAAAAAGACTAAAATTGAATATAAGAAAAGAAATACTTCCTTCATTGATAATTGTCTCAAGGAAGTACAATCCCTTTCTAAAATAAAGAACCTTTAATGGCTCCAAAAAGAAAACCATCCACGTGGTAATTTAAAAAACAAAATACATTACATACAGTAGTTGAGACATTGGAGGAATGGATGTGCGCCTGGCTTTGGATCTAGTAGTGGTGTGATTAGTAGTGAAATTTGGGTTACTAACACAATTTATCTTCTTTCACCAGATAGTATATAGTCAAACATACATGCATTACAAGATGCTTAAAGGATAGTTTTCAATCCATGTACAAGATATGATTGATATTACAAAAGAACAATCTAATGCAAAACACTAAACCAAGCTAGTGAGGATGAAAATAGTAGATATGCATAGCCTTACCCCTCAAGCAATGAGACAATTTCCAAGATTTGAATCCTCGACCTTTGGGGTAAAATATATGAATAACATTATAGTTGATGCAAAACAATGTGTGCCCCGTGTTTTGGCTGCAAAGTGAGAATAATCGTTGGAGCATGAGCATAGGATGGAGAAAGCTCAAATGAGAAATTTTGCAGAAGCAATGATAACCCTATCTTGACTTCCAATAAGGCAAAGTTTTGGCCAATACATATTCTAGGACCCCATCCAAATGGGAAAAATGAAACTTGGCCTTTTGTGACCTTAGCAATTCCTTCAGAGAACCTTTCAGGTTTGAACTCCTTGGCATCATCACCCCAGATGTCAGCATCAAGGTGAATCAAAAATATTGGCATGGTAATGTTTACTCCTGCAGGTAGTGATAGGTTTTCAAGTTTCATGTCCTTTTGAAGAGTGCGACTAAAGAAAATTGCTGGAGGGTATAACCTTAGAACCTCATATAGAATCATAGTAACCTATTGAAGAAACATTATGGCAGATGTTAGCACAAAATATATGTTTAATAAAAAATCATGGTTTAAATACCTTTTTAATTTTTATAATTTCATGAACTTTATCTTTTAGTCTAAATAGTTAAAAATATTTTATTTTAATCTTTTCATATTTTTTCATTTTTGTGTAGTCTCTGTCATCTATTACTATAGAATATGGAGACTAAAGTAAAATTTATGAAATTATAAACTAAAAGAAAATAAAAATGGTAATTATAGAAACTAAAAGAAAATATCGTTAATTATAAAGATTAAAATATCAAGTTTATAAAACTTTATAGACCAAAATGATATTTAAACCAAAAATCATCATCAAATGAAAGTACGGGATACATACAATTTTAAGCTGACTTAACCCTTCAAAATTTGGATTTTGATTTCCAAATACTTGAAGAACCTCTTGCCTTGCTTTTGCTTGCCATTCAGGAAACCTACCCAATAAGATCATTGTCCAAACCAGCAGAGTTGAAGTGGTCTCTTGCCCTGCCAAGTAGAATGTTTTGCATTCCTCAATAACCTCTTGTTTGGTCATTCCAACACTCCTACTGTTTCCATGTCCCTTGATTTCCTTGCGATTTGATTCCAAAAGTATGCTTAATAAATCTGCATCGGAGGTTTCACCATTCTCCAAGGCTTTCTCTCGTTTTTTGATGATACCCTCAATTGAATCATGCATGTCTCTTTCAATTGCGTTCATCTTCTTGTTGGTAGATGTTGGTAGATTCCTAGAAACATACACGTTAAATATGAGGGAAGGGAACGGACTTGCTTATGAGTCTTACAATTGTTACTAACTAAACTTAGATAGTTCAATACTCTATAACAAGTTGAAAATCCGTAGCAGCTCTTCTATAAGTCATTTGGTATGCCATATCTCTTGAAATTCAAAGATTTTTTGAAAACCAGATATCAAATATCTTGGGGATGAAACATGTATTAAATCAAAATCTGTATGTAATTAATAATTATTCGTCATCATCACAATAATTCGTTACTTAGAGTTTGTATGTTATAACTTAAACACTTAATTAACATCTTGCATACGTCCTATGGTTCTTTTGACTAGTTTGAGAAGCTTCAGAGTACAAGATTATCATGGACATCAAGCACTCCCGTGTAAAATGTGATATTGACATATCAGTCAGAGAAAACAACCTTGTACATTTTGTTACATTAGACATTAATTTCCTTAGCTTTATAATCGGTAATTAGTTGATTCCACAACAAAATTCATAGTGAATTCATTTCAGGTAACACTAGAAAATGCTTAATTTAGTTCTAAATTAAAACAAAATAAATCACACTTTGGTCTTACCGCAATATTGGTATGTCCTTGTACTTTGCTGTCATGAAAAGATACCCCTGCATTTTTAGAAGTTGAAATATTTTCATTCCTTCTGCATAGCTGCTTCCAAATGCTGTTCTGGAAATTATGTCACAGCTCAAATTCTGAAGGAAAGGCCAAACATCAATCTCGCATGTTCCATCTGAGGACAACATTCCCTTCCACACGCTAATCATATCATGGCAGCTTAGAGAAAATGCTGGCAGCATATTCTGCAAATTAAGTATTAAGTAAAATCATATTATAAAAAGAAAAATGGAAAAACAGACTTTTTTCTGTATAATTTGGAAGTATAATTCCCTCCCACCGGATCAATCTAAAACTAAAAGCAGAACTTGATAACAAAAAAGCAAGAATAAATTAAAGAAATAACCTTACTTTCAATTTTTCCAAGTGGAATGCTGGGTTGATAATCCTTCGATGTTTATCCCACTGCTCACCCTCATACTTTACTAAACCATTGATGAAGAACTTGGCAATGCCACTTAACTTTGGTTTCTGAAAGTCATACATGTTGTTAAAGACTTGTTTGATTTGTTTTGGATCCGAAATGACCACCTTTGGTGTTGTACCTTCCCATATAAAGGAATTCTTGCCTGTTCATCCCTTACATATCAGCAACTACTCAAAAAGGCTTTAACAACATCAGAAGTACTTACTATCTAAGTGTTATTTCATATTAGCATCAAGTTCATATAATGTTTAGTGCCTTCAACTGCTAACGTAAACTCCTTCAAAACCAATAATCTTTTTTAAGTTGTATCTATCGCAATGCATATGGGGTAAAGTAAAACTGAATAGGATAAGTAATTAGGTACAACTCCGTTACCCCTTCCCCCATTACTCCAGCAACCGTTTCACCACTTTCTTATTAGTTCAGTTTCAGTGTCGGATAAAAGAAAGTCTAATGGTGTGTTTGGATGAGGAATTTATATAGGATAATTCATTTATTTGAAGAATTTCAAATTCCTTGAGGTGTGTGTTTGGATGAGGAATTTTACAAATTCAAGGAATTTTAAATTCTTGGTATTTGAATTACTTTGATTTCAATTTCTATTATTCTTAAAATATTTTGTTTGGATGAGTCAATTCAAATTTCTTAAATTTTAAATTGTTAGGTTGAATATGATAATTTTATTCCATCATATTTTAAAAATATATTTATATGTTGAGATTTTTAAATTAAATTTTATAAAAATAAATATTAATCCATTTTTAAATATTTATTAATTTTAAAAATTAATATTAGATAATATTTAATAATTTTAACAATTAATATTAGATAATGTTTAACAATTTTGAAAATATTTTTGAATATCTAATAATTAAAAAAATGAAGAGATAAGATAAAATATATAGGTGAAATAAGAAAAACAAATATGAGGAATTTCAAATTCTCCCATTTTTGGAAGAATTTGAAACTCTACTATTTTAAGAAATTTCACAAATGATTGGATTTCAAATTCTTTGTAAATTCCTCATCCAAACAAAGCATTTCACCTCAAAGAATTTGAAATTTTTCAAATAAATGAATTACCTCATATAAATTCCTCATCCAAACACACCATAATAAGAGTATTAATGAGAAAGAAAAGGTGTACCATATTTGGAGATGGTGTGATAGAGGAGCGAGGATACACGCGGCGCCACATCGTTGGAGAGAGCAAAAGGTTGGGGTTTGGGCTCATTTAATTGCACATGGGGTGGTGAGAGGGAGTATGGGTAACCCTGAAGACCTTGCGCTCTTAGAAAGCGTTCCAACCGCTTAGGCCTGAGCCAGAGCGAGTTGAGCATGTGCAGTGCCCACAAGGGGATCACCGCTGCAATCAGAGTCAGCACCCATAGTACCTCCATTCTTGCTTCGGAAACACGTTCACCAAGTGACAACGTGCAATTGGAGGCAACTTAACTTATGCTTGGAGGTGACTTTTTGATTTATTATTATTATTATTATTAGTGAGTCAAGGTATATCCTTTTTTTTTTAGTTTTTAAAATTATTAATGTTTATTAAATTAATTAATTGATTAATTGATTTTTAAATTTTAAATTTTCATATTTGGGTTTTGTATTTATAATAAATTAATTTTTAATATTATTTTTTATTATTTAAAAATTTAAAAATAATCATGTATACGTGTTGTGATTTTATGTAATAATAATAATATGGACGTGTTCGGATTATAAAATGGTTGGACGCTTACTCAAGAAATCACTATAAATTAAGAGTATATTTCTTATTCAAGAAATCACTATACATGATATTAAATTATTAACTTCGTTATACGTACTGTATCATCATCACCCTTTTATACTATTGTTTTCTCTCGTTCCTTATTAAAAACTACACAAACGGACACCTCGAGGCAAAACGTGTCCCGCGTGATCTTTAATATATCATTTTGTTGTTTTTATTATATTTTAATAAATTAAATTAAAATCATTTTTATAAAAATAAAAAAATAAAATAGTGATGATATATTTTTATTTGTTATTTTTAGGAATTAGTTTTCACTTTAATTTCTATTTTAAAAGTCTTTGAGGTGGTTTCGGTTCATCTTCCTTTATTTACGAGAATATGAAAATAAATATGTTTATATTTGTTAATGGATCATATAATAATATTTTATTTATCATCTTTTCCTTTTGGAAAAATTATACTCACATAAGTAAAATAACTTTATTTTTATGGTAGAGGAGTGAGTATATAATATTCCGGTGAAAATATTAGAATTTGTAACTTTTATTTTTATTTAAATTATTTTAAAATTAATTTTTATAAACAAAATATGAACAATTATTTCACGTTAGAGTCTTTAGTATTTTTTTTTTAAGGAAGTTTTAAGAAATTATTTTAATTTTATTAATTTGATTTTTATTTATCATAATTATTTATAATTTAATTATTAATATTTTTAAAATAAAATATCAATAAATAAAAATAATCTTGAAGTACAATATAAATTATTTGTCATAAATTTAAGTAGAATTTATATATTTAAAAATATCTATTTATTCAAATTTTAAATATAATTTATATGTTCAAATATAGTATTTATTTATATACATGGATTACATAAACTAAAATACTATAATTAAAAATAGTCTTGTCTCGCAATTTAAAATCTAACATATGTGTATTGCAAGGCTAAAATATTATAATTAAAAATAATCTTAAATCGCAATTTAAATCATTTATTTTAAATATATTATATTTAAAAATTTATTTATACAAATTTAAATATGATTTATCTATTAAAATATAATATTTTTTTATATATATTTTATTATAAAATTCAATCTATAGCATATAATATAAGAGGTTGTCTCATTTGATGTACACATTTTTAGACGATTTTATCTTTAAATTTTTAAATAATAAAAATAATATTAAAAATTAATTATTTTACAAAGATAAAACTTGAATTCAAGATCTTTAGATTTGAACACTAATGCAACACAAATTAATATATCAAACGTTGATAATTATTAAATACTTTTATTAAATAAAGTATACAGGCATAAAAATGTCTTAATCCTACTAGTTATATATAATAAATATTCGTGTAAAATCACAACCTATAATACTAGTTTAAAAAACATTTTTAAGAATATTAAATTGAACCAAATATTTTTTCTTATAGTTTTAAAAATAACATTTTGAATTATTTTATTCATAAAAGTATAATTAGTTGAGACTTGTGTAAATATATAATTAGCAGAAGAGACAATTAGGATTCATAATCGATATAATAAAAGAGTGGGTCGGTATTTAAAATAAATAATAATAAAATAATTATATAAAATATTAACTTAATTCCTTCCCCTAAAAAAAGTTAACTTAATTTCTTTTATAATTAAAAATATCACTTTATTAGAGGTAATATATTTATAAGTCCAGTTACTTACTTCACTTAGCAACTATTATTTTTTCTTTTTCCTATATATATTATATATTTTATCTCTATCTGTTTTTTTTATTTCGTTTTGATTTACGTTCTATATAAATAACAAGAAATAAAAGATTAGGTATAAGTATAACAAAAGAGCGAAGGACATATGATTAAAAAAAGTTTATTTTGTGCATCATAGGAAGTTTCAATTTTTTTATGACCAGGAATTCTGGGTATTAATTTATTTGATTAATCAACCAACATTAAATTTTAAATCACTAATTAAATCTTATCCTGTGACTTCAAAATTAATATTGTATATAAGATTTTTTTAATTATTTTTGTTATCAAATTACCAATTATACCCTTACATACATAGTTATCAAATACTCATGGAGAGACACATTACAACACTTGTACGATTTTAGCCAAAATATTATTAAAAACGAGAGCATATGGGTTGATTTTAATTAACATGGAATTATTATCTCTCACTTCTTCTATATTTTGTTCCTGATGCTATTAGGTTCAATTAAAATGTTATTAAGTTGAATTCAAATAATCTATGTAACTTCATCATCTCTTAGTCAACATAATTTAAAAAAAAAAAAAAAAAAGCTTATTCTATGATATTTATTAGGTTCAATTAAAATGCTATTAGGTTCAATTCAAATAATCCATGTAATTTCATCATCTCTTAGTCAACATAATTTTTAAAATAAAATAAAAAAAAAATAGCTTATTCTTCGATATCTATTAGATTCAATTAAAATGTTATTAAGTTCAATTCAAATAATATATATAGCTTCACCATCTCTTAGTGTGTCATGTAAGTTTTTGTTAATTATTATCTTTTAGCAATAATTATATGTTGTGATATTTTGAGGTGTAGTGTTGAGAAACTCTAAGAGTTAAGGAACTCTTGAGAAGTCTTTAGGTGTTTTGGAGGGTTTTCTAGACAGAGGTTCAATTTGATCCTCAGAGAAAAATATATAAAGTTCTTTTTGAAACTTGCATCTCATAAGTTCATTTCTCAAAGAACCTTAGCAAGTGCTAGAGAGAGAAACTCTGGAGTGCAAATCCTATTCTTCTTTCTAGACTTCTCGAGCACATGGGATCATTGTCGAGTGTTGATTCAAAGTTGGATAGTTGAGAATCAAGGTGGTGTAGCACAAAGCTTCCTGAAGAAGTTGGAACTAGTTCTTTTTCTTCTTCCTCGGCTTGCTTTGACTTTGAGGTAAGGAAAGTTAGAACCTCATTCATGTGGGATTGTATGAATTGCGTGTTATTTGATTGTCATCAAAATATGGTTATATTCGTTAAATTTGGATTGAATGGTGGAAGGGTTGAGTTTTGATGTTTTGAGCTATGAAGGTGAATATTTAGTAAAGGTTCCTAATTGTGGTTGCATGTTGTTATTCTAATGTGAAATGAGTTGTTGTTAATGTATACAAGTAATATCTTGTATTGTGTGTTGGTGATATTTTGGATTTTAGGTGGTTTGAACCAAATTTATGAGTTTGCAAGTGTAAAACTCACCATTACATTGAGCTTATTTTCATGGTGTCAAGCGTGACTCAAATCAGGAGACCTCTGTCTTTCTCATGTTGGACATAAAATTAGTGGTTTTGAGCGTAAGGAAAGAGACTGACCTCTAACTTGGTCACTTTGGACATGGTTTGAATGACATCGAGGGTGAGATGAGAGAATTGATTCTACCTGGATTGGCATTGGGCGCCAAAGGAGTGACACTAGACATAAGGAGAGAAACTCGTCTCTACTTAGAATGGGGTCGAGCATGTGACTTTGTCATGTCAAGTGTAAGAGTTCAAGGGTCACTACCTCATTCACACCGAGCGTGGTTTGAATAACATCAAGCGTGAATGGGGTAGAGAGCTCCTTACCTAAATGATGCCAAGCATAGGTTGGATAATGTCGAATTCAAATTGTCATATATTAACTTGTTGTTTTCATGATGAATTGATGAACATGGGTAGGTTAGATTAATTTATTGCATGTTGTATGCTAAAAGGTGATGTTAGTTCTATGTATATTGATCTAAGATAATATGTAAATATTTATAATGTTGATATATTATCAAGGTGTGATATTGAGAATATTTTAGACATTTAGTCATGTTGTGTTTATACACTGTTGAGGTGTGAACCTGAGAATGCTATAGACATTTAGACATATTAATTAACTTAGAACTAGAGAAGTTATTTTTAAAAGTTGGATATCCCATATATGAATATTGGTGGTGTTCCACAAGCTTAATTGTTAAAAACCTTCTTGGGTAGGTGTTAACTCTTGAAGTGGATAGTTGAATATCTTCTAAGACCTTAGTTGATGTAGTATGTGGGTCAAGCCGAGGCATACAAGCTAAAAGTGACTAATGTTGATCCGTATGTAAACAAGGTCGAGACGTACATATATAAAGTGACCAATCAAGTAAAGTACAAGGTTGGAGGCTTAGTCCCTAACTGAGTACTAGAATGACATAGTATTTACAAGATAGTCGACCTACTAAATCCATAAGGGACTTAGTGTTGCAAACTAATGTCGTGTTAAACTCATACCCAAATTGTTCTACCTTGACAAGAATAATAGACTTCCTAATTTAAATGGAGACATCTGAAAAATCATGTTATTAAGGATTAGTATCCCAATTTGATTGTTGACCTAGCAGGTGTAAAAATGTTCTATTGGTTCAATAGAATCTGGTTACTTAAATTATTCACCTTTGTTGTAAAATGTAAACACCCAATTTTGTCCGGGAGGCATACAAACAAAGAAATGGACGTCTATCATCAAAGAATTGGAGCTCCCAAGCATGCAAATAACAGGACAAGACATCAGAAGGCCTAAAGCCCAAATACTTTGGTTTTAGTGGCCCGAAACGGGCTATTCCAAAATCAAAACGGGTCGTTCCAAGCCACAAAAAAAGGCCTAAAAACCTAGTCTGGAACGGGCCGTTCCAAAACCAGAACGGGTCGTTCCAAACCAGGCAAAAGGCTTAAAAGTAATAGACTGGAACGGGTCGTTCCTAAGACAGAACGGGCCGTTCCAAAATTGAAACGGGTCGTTCCAATCTCCTAAAAAAGGGTTAAAAACCTTAACCGGAACGGGCCGTTCCTAAACTGGAACGGGCCGTTTCGAGTTAATAAAATGGCCTAAAATCTCTTCTTCGGAACGGTCGTTCCAGTCTACCAAATTACATGTTAATCTCACTTCTGGAATGGGCCGTTCCGATTTCAGAACGGGTCGTTCTAGTATACGAAACTTATACGTAATGGTCAGATTCAACGGGTCGTTCCGATTTTGGAACGGGCCGTTCTGGACCCTTTCTGAAGTCTATAAATTGATAGCTTGGGCACAGTTCTTCCGACCCCGAAAATTTCGTCCAGGACTCCTTAGAGCTCGAAATTTCTCTCTCTCTTTCCTATTGTATTTCTTGAGTATTGTGAGGCAATTGTAGTGTGAAATGTTGCTACAAAGCACCTATATTTTTCATATTTGAAGATCTAACGAAGCTTGTCACGAGGTATTTCATTTAATCTTCTTCTCTTTCTTTTACTTCTTTTTTTTTTTGTTATAACAAAAATAATCATGTAGACATTTTAGGGTTAATCGTATAATTTAAATTCCAGGCATGTAAATAATTATTAATAAAAGGAGATTTAATATTTATATTATTATTGTTTATAATATTAATTTCATCATAGGGTACTGATTAAGGGCGTTGTAGGGGTGCTTAATACCTTCCCTATACGTAATCGACTCCCGAACTCAATTCTGGTTATCAAGGCTATTATTGGACTTTTAAAAATCTTTTCTTTTTCCAATGTTTTGAGTAAAATATTGGTGGCGACTCCATGAACTCATTTTTCAAAATCATTAATTAAGGATTAGTCTGGTGTCCGGGCATTCCTTAATTAATGAGATCTTTAAAAGGATGTTTAAACTATAGGTCGCAAGATCGGAAATTTTCGAGTTGCGACATAAAAGATCTTTGTAGATGAATGTGTGACAAAACATAATTGAGGTGTTAGGCATATGATATGGTGATTATTGATATTGTTCATATGTTGCTTGTTTTGGTTGTTAAATGGTGTATCGATAAAATCGTTATTTACCTTTGTAGGTATTAGATGCCATATTGAGGTGTTTTGTAATGTTGATTTGTTGTAACTAGGGTACATTATTGTTTGTTTACATGTTGGAGTTGGTAATTAGTATAGTTGTCTTCACTTTTATACTTGTTGCATGAATATTCTCTTGAATCTAGTTTACCTTTATGTTTTCCTATTAATAAAATTACAATGATCATGCTTACATAAAAAACAAAGTAAAGATAAACTTGAGGAGTCTAATTAGTAGAGAATCATGTGATTGGATAGTGTAACTAAATTACTCTCTTAATTTTTCAATAGAATAACTTGACCCACAACTTAGAGTCATATATTATAACTTTAGATTACTATATATATATATAAATATATATATATATATATATATATATATATATACTTATAAAATTTTACAATTATTTTTACAAAACTTTAAACCATGTATATGCATATGATTTTTTACCATGTTTTTCGAGACCTATATTTATGTAAACTTTAGATAATATTATTATATTTCTTCCACTACTTATAATAGATTCCATTAAATATAAAGCATGACAAGTCGTTACATTTAATTTTAACAAAAAAGATTAGTTTATTCTTCTATGTCGTATGAGTTTGTTAATTTTAAGAATTAGTTCTACAAATGATACATGTCTCAACGGGGCTAAAATCCTCCGGTGCACAAGAAAATCCCAATTGGAGGCAGCAACCACGACTCCACGAGGCAAAACACAAGTGATCCCCAAATCATTGCACTCAACACATGCAAGATACTTCCGCAATAGGTCGCACTTGATAAGCTTAATAAACTAATAGTGCATAACAAAAACGCAGCCCAATAATCACTCTACTCAAAAAATAACAAACTACGTTAGATGATGACTATATTAATCAATCGTTTTTTAAACATAATACAATGAATATTCATGTTTAAATTAAACATACACAATTCGTATTGACTGAAACTAACAGTTTAAGATGTAAACAAACTTCATTGAGGTTGAGACATGTTTCATCAATCATATTCCATCTTGAGAACTAACATTTAGACATTAGTAGTAGTCAATTTAAAAACTATCGTGTACACCATTTCTTTTTCACTTGGTTTTTGATTCTACTTCTACACCTCTACTAACTCAAGCTGGTCACAATCCAACTGTTATTGTTCTAATTCTAATGCAACAAAATATCACAGTCCTCAAACAAAGCATAAAAGCTATCAGCTATGAAGAGTAAAATTACACCAGATTCAAATGATCTCCAAAACTAACTTAAGACGATTGATAAACGAACAGAGTTTAAAAAGAAAACACTCGAGAATTTTGCTACTTTTCATCTTCAACGGCTACAATTTTGTACTTCCCGGATTGCTGTTGCTGCACCAAAATCCACCGTTAAACTTGTCGACAAAATACCAATGTACCAAACCAAAAAGATGACACAAAATCTTAACACATTTTATTTTATCTTAAAACCAATCATTACGTACAGAACCATAGTAAAAAAAATATTTTGCTTGATTCACAAACTAATTTTAATGTTTAAAATTCCTTTAAAATGGAAAGAATGTATTTTGCTTTAGAAATTATAATTTCTCACCTTAATTAAAAAGGTTAGGATAAAAACAATAAATTAGACTAAATTATCCATCCAAATAATCATCAAACCTCAAATTAAATCAAACTAAAAAAAAATCTTCAAAATCAAACTAATTACTAAAATTAGCACTTCCACGCATTAAAGTTTTGTTCTGTAAATAAATACACTAATGATATCATACCCTCGCGAGTGACGAACCAATTTTCTGGTTTCTTGTTTTTCTCTAAAATTTGAATAAAAAAAATAAGGTTCCCAATAATTGACACAAACTACTCGAGTTAACTCTTTATTGTAAGATGTGGATTTTGCAGAGTACTCAGAGAATATGGCCACTGAGTCTGCAACTCAGGATTGCAATATTGAATGCACATCACACCTGTTTCTTTGAAGTTAAAAGATTCTTTTTCTAAGCAGAGAAAAAGTAAGGAAGTGTTTGTTATAATATATTTTTAGAATATGATTTTCGAAAATATGTAATCAGAAATATTATTTTTAAGATAATACTAAAATTAAATAATACGGAATATTGTTTCCAGAAATAATTAAAAATAAATTTGGTAAGATTTAAATATTTTTCTAAAAATAGTTTTAAGATTTTGAAATAATTAAATTAAAAATAAAATAAAATTAGAATAAAAATTATAATTAAATTAGACAATAATTTGTTTCATTTTTTATGATGAAAATCAAATATATATTTTTATTCGTCCCTGAAATATCCACTACCAATAGTTACGTTAAAAATACTTCAAAAAGTAAAATAGCTGGCCCAAGATTTAAAAAATCAAATGATTTAACATATGAGATGATTACTTTTATAAAAATAAATTATAATCATGAATAAGATTTTAAAATGTGTAACAAACATTTAAAAAGATTATATATTTTCAGACTCATATTTTCAATAATGGTATTTTAATTCGTGAAACACTTGTACTGTAAAAGCTATAAAAAAAAAATATTTAATAAACATTTAATTTAATTATTTTTATCCGTACAATTTATAATAAAAACCAATTTTTATTTAATTTTATAAAACTTAATAAATAAATAAAAGCGACATTTACCTTTTCCCACATTCGAGTGTGCGTTTTGCAGAAGCCCGCAACGACGGTGTCCCCCTTCTTCCCCTCCCTGTACTCCATCCAGAGCTCCTCCTTGAGCGCGCACGTGACATGAAAGCCCAGCCCACACTTGGGCTCGGAGCAGACAAGCCCACACCCGTCGCAGAGCCCACAAACGTAGCACCTCTGGGCCCACCTCCTCTCCGGCACCATGGAGCAGTCGATCCCCTCCCTCCCCTCGGGGTCGCGGAAGAACACCTCGGGCACGAACAGCGCGCACACCACGTGAGCCCACGCGCCCTCGCGCGTGCACCGCTTCACCGCCCCCTCCCTCGCGGGACAGAGCTCGCACCGCACGACGTCGTCGCGGCTCCCCCCGAAACGGCACCGTTCGCAGAACCAGTCTCCGTCGGGGATGGACCGCGCCAGGGGGTTGCCGTAGCAGGAGGCGTGCACCATGAGGTCGCAGCCGTCGCAGAAGACGATGGGGTCGGCAGGGTCGCCGTCGGTGCTCTGGCAGACGCAGCACAAAACGCCGTCGTCTGAGTCGGAGTCGGAGTCGGGGGAGGGGTCGGCGTTTAGGTCGAAGGCGGGAACGGCGTCGTTTGGGGGCGGGGCTTGGGGCTGCGGGGCCCACACGCGTTTTTTGGCTGGGAGGGAGTGGTTATAGAAGGTTCTAGTGGGAGAGGGTGTAGATTGGGTTCGCGACTCCTTGCGTTTTTTGGTGGGTAAAGGTGAAGACTCGAAATCGTGTTCTTGTTGTTGCATGAGTCTGAGTCTCTTGAGCGGAGGGAGGTCGTTGAGGGATGTGGTGGATCCCATTTCGGGGTTTGGATTGGGAGCGGAAGAATCTCTGAGGGGAAGTGAGGTTTGAGGTTTGAGGTTTGGTTTGGGTTTTGAATTGGGGTTGGAGCGGGTTAAGTTAAGTTGAACGGAAAGGGGAAAGAGAGGGAACGTGGGTGGGAGAAAATTTGGAAGGAAAATTTTGAGAGGTGAAAATGAGGCGGGAGTGAAACGGCGGTCGTTTTGGGTTTCATTCATGAATTGCAGAATGCGCGCGCTTCTTTTTATCGTTTGGATTTTGACATTGGAATTTCGATGGATATGATTTGCTACTACTACTACTACTGGATGATTAATTAAACGATGTGGCACTGAAACGGTGCGTTTTGGGTTGGTGTAATTAATTTAACTGACAAAGCAGAGATAGGAGTCATGTCATAGGCTAACGGATTTGGGATTTAGGTGGGATTACCAAAATTTGATGGTTTTGGTGGGACTTGGGAGTTGGGTTGGGAGGGAGAATTTTGAGTATTTCCAGTTTTCCACAGATTAAAATGATGAGATACGACTGGAATAGATTAAAAAAATAATATTATTTTTATTTAAATATGCTTTTTTATTAAAAGTATATGCAAAATAAAAAAATATGGTTTTAGTCTTCATAAATTATTTTTTATTTTAAAATTTTAAATATTGATTTTTATTTTTATAAAACATTTTTTATTCTTATGGATTGAGTACATTTTTTTTATTTTAATTCTTGTAAAATCTTTTTTTTTATTTTTATCCTTCTAATACACATATAAAAAATTATACCTTTATATCTCAAAAATCTCTTTCTTTTATATGCAATCAAGCAGAATATAGAATATAATATATATATATATATATATATAATTGTTAGATATTAAAAAATTCAATAATGTAAATGTTGGTAACATGATTGTCAAATTTGTCAAGTGAGGATTCACTTGACAAATTTTATGATTTGTTGTTATTTACTAATATTTATATTATTGAAGAATATAATATCTAATAATTTGATGTATATATATAATAAATATTTCTTATATTTTATTATCATTAATAGTTATGGATAACATTTAAGATGATTATTTAACATTTTGATAAATAAATAAATAGTTAAAAATAATTATATAATAATAAAGATTAAAAATAGTAGTTCAAAAATTTATATGGATGAAAAACAAAGGGAAAATTTTGTTGACTTAAATCAAAATTTAGTTATTTTACATAAATTAAAAATATATTTAAATTTAATATTTGAATATAAAGTATAACCGATTATTTTAATTTTTTACTGATCAAAATTTTTAGTATTATAAAAAAATTTCACAAAAAATTAAATAAGTATGTGTGTAATTCTTAATTCTATATCAACATGAAATTCTAAATTTGTATTGTCTAATATCAACACAAAATAAAAGGTTTATATGAATATTTGCATACATAAGTGATGTAAGATTTAATTTTATATTATAAATCAAAATACATAATTAGGTAGTGATATTTCAACTTTTTCAATTAGGCATTTGAGCATTTCTAATATATATTTTCTTCTCTCTTTTTGTAAGTGTTTTTATAGGTACTTAAACAACTAGTAAAAACTAATTTCTATCGATCATCTAAATTTTTTATTATTTAATCTTTATTTTTATTCCAAAATTGAATTTTTTAAGGCACAGTATAACAACAATAGAAGTTGGATAGTACTTTAAACAATTTTTTTAATTGTCTTTGAAAGATAATGTTTTGTAAGTTTTGTCTAACGATTTAACACAATGACTGAAAGACTTGTGTCAAACAATAACAAAAAAAATTATGGAAAAGAAACTATTATTTAAAACATAATATTAGTTGGTATACATAAAGAATATGTTAGGCCTAAAAGAATGATTTCAATTTCATATTCGTGAAAGGATTGTGCAAATTTTATGGGTTTAATGTTTTGGTTTCATGTCTTTCCCTAAAAGGCTTTCCTTATGATTTTAGTCTTGTACCTTTGTTTCTTTACTACTAAAGTGTAACCTTTTATTTTCGGTGTATGAATGAAGTAATTTCATTTTTCTCAATTTCTTTAAAAGTTTAGTAGTTGTAACCCTAATTTTCTAGTAGTCTCTTAACAATTTGGTGCTTTCATCTTTAATCCAATGCTTTTAAAACCATTCAAAGAGGTGGATGATGTCATCCACAATCCCAATGACAAATTTGGGACCTTGTAAACCTATTTTGAGAATCAACAATAGTTGTAGGACATTCATCAAGCAACTATGCAATAATCCCTAAATACAATCATGGAGAAATTAACAATCATGGACACTTGTCAACCATGGTTTTACCCCACCTTTATCAAATATTTCTCACATATCATCCCTTTTTACACCACCTTTTTCACAAGTAGCACCTCCTTTTTTCACTTCGATTAGATTACCCACACCACCCCCTCCAAGTGTTCCTTTACCCTTGTCTCAAATCAGTATCACACAACCTGATACAACCTTTCCCTTTGTTCAACACACAAGTACTTCTTTCAGTATGCCTTTTTCCTTCACATAGAAAACCATAACCTATTGACTATGACTATTCTGTTTTCCCAACCAATTTTTGTTTCCCAACATGGCCTACCCTACACCCACCTAAATTGCAACTCAACACCTTTGAAGGCTCAGACCCCTTAGATCGGCTTTTTCAAGCAAAACAATTCTTTTTATTATACCAAATCCCCTACAAACACCACATTTACCTTGTTGCATTTTATATGAAGGGTGATGCTCTTAGTTGGTATAAAGGGATGTACCATAATCATCAATTGAATGATTAACAGTCTTTTGCTCGAGCACTTTAGCTTCAGTTTGGCCCTTCCAACTATGAAAACCATCAATAAGAACTCTATAAGCTTCGTCAATATAAGTCCGTTGCAAACTATCAAGCACAATTTGAGTGATTGTTTAATAAGGTTTCTAGACTTTCAAATGATAATTTGTTAAATTGTTTCATCTCAGGCTTGAAACCACTATTATGCCATGAGTTGTTGATTTTACAACTTACTCCATTTCTCAAGTGATTGGCCTTGCCAAACTTTTTGAATCAAAATTCAAGGATTCCAAAAACAAATATAGTCATCCTTATACCAACACTAATCACCAAACCCTAACCCCACCCCATCATCCCCTTAGCCATCATCCATCACCTCTCCCAACACAACCCCACTACCCATTAAACGTCTTACCCAAATCCAAATGCAAGAACAACAAGCCCAAGGTCCATGTTATAATTGTGATGAGAAAATTGTCCCTAGTCACAAATGTTCCTCTTCCAAATTCCTATTGTTATTAATTGACAACAACAAGGAAGACCCTTGTGATATTCCCCCTTGTGAAGACAATTTTCCCACCCCTAAACCTGACCCACCCCTTTTTCACCTTTCCTTCCAAGCCTAACTGGCCATCCATCCCCAAAAACACTTCAATTCCAAGGTAAACTTCATAACATAGCTATTTGTGTCCTTATTGACATTGATAACTCCCATGATAACCTACAACCTTATTTAGCTACTCACCTCCAATTACCCATTAGCCCCACCCCCAAATTTTTTGTCATGGTTGGCAATGGTTAGCATATTAAATACATTAGACTTTACGAATAAGTCCCACTTTACATCTAGGGTCACCTTTTCTAAATTCGCATTTACCTAATGCCTATTAAGGGTGTCGGTGTTGTATTAGGAATTGAGTGGCTTTAAACTTTTGGGCCTCTTACTATTGATTTTGCTACACCTAGTCTTTCTTTTACCTACAATACCTCACTTATTACCATATAGGTCAATCCTCCGTCCACTACTTCCATTTCCACTTTTCACCATGTGACACCCTTCTACCCCATAATAAATAAGTAACAACAAAGTGGGGGGTTTGGTTCAGATTTTCAGTTTATAACACAATAAAACGAAATAACTCAGCAAGTAAAATAGATTGGCTCCTTGTTCGGATTGCAACTCTTTTATCCCTGGTTCTCAAAAGATTACTCTATTAGCCACTTAATCCTTGTTCCATCCGAGTTAATGTAATCACCCTCAATCAC